ACAAAAAAAAACAAATAAGTGGAACTAATTTGAAAATAGCCTTTCTGACTTTATTGGCTATTTTCCTGATTTTTAAGTTACATAGTAAATACATTTGCATCTGGTGCACCATGGACATACTGAGAAAAAGTTCAGTTCTTCAAAAATAAGACTATATTGTGGAAGAGAGGTGTTACAGTAACATCATACTTCACCCACCAGACCTCAGTGATATATAATACTTTTATAGTCTTATATTATGTGTCCCACAACTTTGGGAGGTATTCAGTTATTTTCCATAAATTACCAAGGACACAGAAAGTTTCCAAGAGAATAAACAAAAGTGGTGAGTCTTGAGAAAGTAATATATCTTGGAAATAACATCAATGAAGCACCAAAGGTAAGCACCTTAGAAAAACACAAAATAAATCAACTTTGAAGTACTTTGGAGATATGAGAAAGTAAATCTAAATGAAAAGAGGGATTTGATGAAAATAGCACAAATAAGAAGAGATGCCATAGAAATAGAGCAGAGCTTTCAAAATAAAATCAAGGTAATTATACATTTAGGATAGATGAATCAAGAAGGTGTTCTGATTAAATTAAAATGTGCAAAAATGACCAAAAGGAGATTTTCAAGATAGATATTCATGAGACATTATATTTTATTTGAATGAAACCAATGCCTCACATTAGGGTATATATATTTTCCTTTCCAAATTACTTATATACATATTATGTCATTTTTATGGTCACAACAACTCTCCACTTCCTTCAAGCGTCTTCTTAAATGTCACTTACTCAGTGAGGCCTTCACCTACCACCCTATTGTGTAACTCCCTCCCCACAATACTCTCTTCCCTGTACCCTGCTTTATTTTTCTTCCTAGGCACCTGTCACTGTATAATATATTTTACTTATTTCTTGTCTTTTTTTCCCCTTAGAATGAAACTGGGGGTTTGGATCTGTTTTGTTCACAGGTCTTCCCAAGAGTCTGGAACAGTGCCCAACTTTGGAGATTCATCATGAATGAAAAAATAAGCAAATGAATCCAGCCTTCCTAAGAGGGAGGAACCAGATAGTATTACTATGTACTTATACAGCTGAGCCTTGAACAACACAGATTTGAACTATGAGGGTCCACTTACATGTGGATTTTTTAATAAACATAGCACAGTACTATAAATGTATTTTCTCTTCCTTACGATTTTCTTAATAACATTTTCTTTTCTCTAGCTTCCTTTATTGTAAGAATACAGTATTTAATACATATAAAATATAAAATATGTGTCAACTGACTATATTATTGGTAAGGTTTCCAGTCAACAGTAAGCTATTCTTAATTTAATTTGGGGGAAGTCAGAGTTATATCTGGATTTTCAACTCTGCAGGGGTCAGGGTCCCTAAGCCCACATTGTTCAAGAGTCAACTGTACTATAAACAGAGGCAGAAGGGGAACAGAGATTTTTTAAATGATTTGTTCCAAATGAGAAGAATAGCAAGTTTGTTGACTTTCTGGAATTAGTCACCTATAAATGATTTTTTTAATTAAAATCACCAGGGGAACATCTAGCATCAGACTTGCTAGTTAAGCTGAGTGCTAATACAGAAGTAACACTATTCTCATGTAATCTTGGGATTAAATGCAGTGACCAAGGTGCAAATCAGAAAATATGAATAAGAGATCTTAAATAGACATTACAATGACTGTAATAAAAGGGTTTCATGTGTTCTATGTTTCCAGTTATTTACAACTTACAATATTTATTAAATCTGAACACAAACAGCCAATATAGAAAAAAATCACATAGGAAAAACTTACTCGGCTGCAGTAAAAATGTGGGTGGAATTAACACATATGGCATTGATAGGACTATCATGACCCTTCATTTCTCCGACTGGCACAAAAGTATCCATGTTCCAAAGCTTCAAAATGCCCCCTCTGCAGCCACTGAGCAAAACCGGGTGCCCTGGCACCACTCCTAGGGCACAGACCCAATCCTTATGTGCATTTGGAACTTGCTGGAGAAAGAAAGAGAAATAAGCCACTGAAGAGGAGCCTTCCAAAATGACAGTTTCACACCAAAGTAAGTTTCGAACATTTGTTGACAAAACAATATTTAGACCACTCAATGGCCTGGAAGCCATAAAGAAATTTTCTTTTTTTTTTTTTTTTTAATTTTTATTTATTTTTGACAGAGAGAGAAAACACAAGTCAGGGAGGGGCTGAAAAAGAGGGAGACACAGAATCTGAAGCAGGCTCCAGGCTCTGAGCTGTCAGCACAGAGCCTGACGTGGGGCTTGAACCCATGAACCATGAGATCATGACCTGAGCCAGAGTCGGACACTTAACTGACTGAGCCACCCAGGTGCCCCACAAATCATTTTCTATGCAATCATTCTTAATGATTTAAAGAAATAAATTTGCAATTTGCTTTCCAATTTGCCTCAATTATTATCAGTGTTATCAATACTAAAACTTATAATATTAAGTCTCGAAGAATCTCAAAGACCCAGAAAGTACACAGAATTTTTCGCATCACATTCTCTTCATGGGAGTTAAGTATCTCACCTTTCTCCAAAATGTATTTAATTCAACAAGTTTGAAAACTACAACCTGGTATGTAGATAATAAGGACCGCTTCATAAAATCACTGCCTTCAACCTTTAGTAGAGAACATGGAAGCCTAAGGCTTTTTGTAGAAAACTAAAGTAGAGCTCACATATATTTCATAATGAGTAAACAATACTTACACTCTAATTATATGACATTTAGGTATAAATATATTTATATGAATAATATAAAAGTCACAACCATGAATGTATATCTATAAAAGCTTTTGAGGAGCTCCTGGGTGGCTCAGTAGTTTAAGCGTCCGACTTCAACTCAGGTCATGATCTCACAGCTCATGAGTTCAAGCCCCATGTCGGTCTCTGTGCTGATAGCTTAGAGCCTGGAGCCTGCTTCAGATTGTGTGTCTCCCTCTCTCTCTGCCCCTCCCCAACTCATGCTCTGTCTCTGTCTCTGTCTCTCAAAAATAAATAAACATCAAAAAAAATTTTTTAAAGAACGCTTTTGAAAGCAATATGTTCATCTGTTGCCAAGTTTGTTCTATTGACATTCATGCTACTTGTTCGTTTGTTTTCAACTACTCTTATCTAGAAGGTATTATTCAATATTGAACGTTGCCCTTCTCATAATTTGTAACCCTGGTAGCTGAAGATGAAACACTGTTTGAGAGGCTCTTCAAGGTCTTATATAGACTACTGGTGGCTTTGAAGTACCCACTTCATCCCATGAAAGGTTTTACATTACCTGTAGAAGGTCTTTTTGAGCTAAGTCCCATTTCTTGATTCCATTATCTCTGGATCCACTAAATAGGTTATCCCCTTGTATGGTTAGCGCTTCAATGCCATCATAATGAGGGGGCTCAAAATTGTGGGTGGGACTCACAGTTCCCAGAGCCCCTTCAGTTACGTCAAACATCTAAAAAAGGAGAGAAAAGGGGGGCATCCTATTTAACTTATAAATAAGCACCTATATGTGTTCATACATAGAAACACATACACATGTATATTAACCAGATATGACTTGTTACAATATTTTACTAATTAACTAAATTAACCTTGTATAAATGATTCAGGAAGAACCCAGGCCCTATATTCATGCTACTTTTGCTTATATGTCACAAGCTTATATGTCTATAGGCTTTTTAGAAAGGCAACCAATTTTTTTATGTATGGTGAACAAACTATATGTTCAATAACAAAAATACTACATATCAATCCAGTTGAAAGTCAGAAAAATGATATGACTGTTATTTAGGCACTATAATGTAGCTCTGCAATCCTGGTGGCCATCTCAAATTCCCCTCAAAGTTGCTATTCTAAACCTTCTACTCCACTCAGTTGTCATCATCTCTCTTAGCTATTGACCTCATGATTTCCTGAAAAGGGTCGCATGATCAAAAATAAACTTTCTGGACTCTTCCCTCCATTTCAAAAGTTTCCTTTTATTTTCAAACATTCTCTTACCCTTCTCTTCTTTTTAGATGCTAACGTGTGCTTCCTGCTTCCCAGGGTTCACATCTTTGATATGGTTTTAACTCCTACCACCTCCATCACTTACCACCACTTCCCCCATCACTTTCCCTCTCCAAAGGGCCTGCTTCCTAAACAGACAGAAATACTCAAGTCTACCAAATACACAATACTCTCATTTTAACCACTCTATTTTCATGTCACTAACCCACTTCTCATCTCTTAATCTTAGGTTCCAAAAAGAGTAGTTATACTTTTCCTATCTCCTTTGTTACTGCATTCTCTTTTTATTCCTATTGGTTCCTACAGGAATTCACAAGGCTGAGTCCTGTCAACCTCTGTCTCTTTGGTCACATCAACTACTCTAACTCCTGAACATCTGCTTCTTTCAAATGGCTCCCAAACCTGCATGTCTAGTCATAACTTATCTGGAGTTCTAGAATTGCCTTTGAAATGGCCTACTTGCCTATAGGAGGATGACTTCTCTTACTTAGTATCTCAAATTTAACATTTCCAGAATCAAATTGTGCATCTTCCCTCATCTGCTAATTTCATAAAATCTGAAGACCATACTAAACTCAGTGTAAAAGATGGTGACAATGAGATTTAAGCATTAGCTGGATGACTGAGCCAAACATCATTAAAATCCCTCCAAAACAATCTTCTATGAAAAATGAGAACATGGGATTGAATTATAAGACAATAAAATCAGGAACTATTGAATGAGGAAAAAGATCAAGAAGAAAAAGCAAAGGATAGGATTGTTAAAAAAGAAAACTGATTAAGAGCAAAGGGTCTTAGGTGCATCTGATACTTCATATCTATCATTTAATAGGAGAATATAATTCAACAACTCTATCATACACACTTTGATGTAATGATCCTTGGAGCCAGTGATGATTAGATCTTGTCCATTAGAAATCTGATCTACTGTAAGGCACATAACAGGGCCTAGGTGTCCTGTTAACTTTCCTGTAGACTGAAACCTTTAAAAAGAAAGAAAAATAATTTTGTTTGAAAATATTTCTTAATGGGTTGAGATTAAGCCCCAACGTAAATAATCTACATTCTTTGATGAAACTGTTCACTAATGCTTTTTTTTTTTTAAACTTAGCTCCACCTCCATGCAACTCTTTTCAAATTAAGGGTCAAAATATGGCCAACCTAACCTATTCTACGACTGAAGTGTGAGGAATCCTAAATAAGTTATTCCAAAGTTACTGATGTCATTCAGACAGTAAACGAAATGGCAGCAAAACTTGCTAAAGACTAATTTTAAATGCAACCTAAGTCCAGATAAACCTTAATCTGTTAAATATCTGAACATGTTAAAATATATGACCAATGTTATTAGGTTCAATTTGGAATTTGATTAAAACAACTATATCACTTACATGACTACACAATCAATAAAAATATGGAAAAAGTAAGATTACTTTATATAAAACACATATATTCTCGCATATACACATACACAAATATGTACACCAATCATATATACATGTATGCACACACACATATATATACTTATGCACACATATGTATACATGCACGTCAGAAAGTAAGTGGTCCATTTCATCAGTTATTATAAGGACTGAAAATGACCAGGACATATATGTGACTGTAGAAAAATGTGTGATGTTAATTGTCAGGGGGTGACAATGAACCTTTGTTTCATAGTCCTACCTCAATCAAGCTGCTGGACTACAAAGACATATTTAACTTGTAGAGTTTCGTTTCTAGAAAATTATTTTCTTACTTTTTTATGATAAATCTACATTTAATCACATTGCTGAAATCAGCAGCTTTCAAAGGACCTAACTTTTCAGCAAAAACAGAAAGTGTAAAGATTTTTAAAAGCTGTTACCTTTTTTGCCTCATGTCATGACTTTGGGTATCTTCCTCCATGGTGTTTTGACTATGAGTCAAGTTTTAACATCTTCAAGAATAAACCAAGTACTCACCTCTTTTCTCATTTTCTCAAACAAGCACTGTGTTCAATTTTCTACATTTTGTTTCTAAAGCAGACTCATGACTGTATTTCTTCTTTCTCTCTCATCTATTTATCTATAAATTATGTTTATTATTCTTTCTCAGTCATGTGTTAACATATTACAAGTTATAACTAGTTATTTTCAGTTTCTAAAATATCCTTTTTATTTACCACTGACAAATCCCTCTAGATGGGAGGCACCCTGTATTACCTGAATTACAAACTTCACTCAGTATCCTATAATTGCCTGTTTAATGGCCATTATCCTCCGTTACAAAATGAGCTCTAAGAAGATAGACACCACATTTGTCTTGCTCAGTCTTTATTCCCAGCACCCACCATAGTCTTGGTGCAGTGCCTGCCAGAATTGAAGTTGAAAAAATACTTAACTAATAAATGAATATTCCCTTGCTGCCAAAATTTTAAGAACTAGAAAAGAAGCTAAAATAAACACTCAAGTGAGGGATAAAAGCTCACATTTCATGGCAAATAAAAATCAAATCAGAGATATAACACCTTACATTTCAATTTATCATTTTTTACCCATTTTATATTAATATTTAATCTCTTATATACATTTTATATTCATAAAACCCCTATAAAGATTTATGCCCCCAGTAATTAACTTAAGCTTATAAACTAAAAATTTTGAGATATAAAATGTTTAAGTGATGCTGCCCCTCCCCCCAAAACAACAACCACAACAACAACAACAACAAAAAACTCTTTCAAACGTTCTGGTGAAACAGAATGAGAATCTTGATCTCTTCCCAGTAAACAACACAAATTGTAGACAAATATTAAGAGAGGCTATTTTCCTTCGTATACTTTCTTTCTATTGATGGAGAATAAAAGAAAGGAAATTTTTGGATTTGCTAATGAGAAGAGAAGAGCCATTTAGGGGTGTTGGGCCAAACAGAAAAGCCTATTATTTTACATTAACTTCTGGGGTTATAAAAGTTAGATTTTGGGGCGCCTGGGTGGCGCAGTCGGTTAGGCGTCCGACTTCAGCCAGGTCACGATCTCGCGGTCCGTGAGTTCGAGCCCCGCGTCAGGCTCTGGGCTGATGGCTCGGAGCCTGGAGCCTGTTTCTGATTCTGTGTCTCCCTCTCTCTCTGCCCCTCCCCTGTTCATGCTCTGTCTCTCTCTGTCCCAAAAATAAATAAATGTTGAAAAAAAAAAATTTAAAAGTTAGATTTTACATGCACTAATATGTTATTAATGCCTGAAAATTGTACTTGCCGTATATAAGAAATACATTCTCTTAAAAATTCTACCTTTTAAGATCCCACATTCTGACAGCATTTCCAGAAGCTGCATAGAGGAAAGTGCCAGTTGGGTTTAGAGCAATTTGATTTATCTGGTTTTCTCCAGAAGGAATAGCTACTGTCCGGCTGGTACTTGCAGAACAGGCATCTCCAAGAGTAACTTGACCTGAAGACCTTAACAGGGACAAAACAAAGGGAAAAGTCACAATCCTGGATGAGAGTTCAGCTTACAGTTCCTTGAATTCCTAGGAAACTGGCTGTGGGCAAAAACAAGCTCTTTGCCCTTTGGTCACCATGTGAACAGTACCTGGCATGCAAACTCATGCACACATAGCTGGTACTTATAAACACATTTGATGAATAAGTGAATAAATGAATAACTAAAACAAGATGAAATGGCTTAAAATTCTTTTTTTTTTTTTAATGTTTATTTTTGATAGAGAGAGAGAGAGAGAGAGAGAGAGAAGCAGAGCATGAGCAGGGGAAGGGCAAAGACAGAGGGAGACACAGAATCTGAAGCAGGCTCCAGGCTCCCTCTGAGCTGTCAGCACAGAGCCTGACACGGGGCTGAAACTCACAAACCGTGAAATCATGACCTGAGTGGAGTCAGATGCTTGATCGACTCTGCCACCGAGGAGCCCCAATGGCTTAAAATTCTTAATCTGTAAACCTATCATAAACCTAAGAATTCCAGAATTCTTAGGGATTCCTGAGTTAGGGATGACTAGAATATCATTCAAAAAATATTAGATGTTGGGGTGCCTAGCTAGCTCAATCAGCTAAGTGTTGGACACTTGACTGGGCTCAAGTCATGATCTCACAATGTATGAGGTCAAGCCCCCACTTCAGGCTCTGCTTGGGTTCTCCCTCTTCCAGTCTCTCTCTGCCCCTCCCCTGCTGGTACATTCTCTCTCTCTTTCTCTCTCTCAACATAAATAAATAAACTTAAAAAAAAAAAAGATTAGATGTCAAAGATAAAGAACAAAAAACTCAACAAATGATACAGTGCCACAAAAGTAATTCATTTTCCTATAGCTTCCAGAACGCCCCGAGGGCCAGGCCTACCAATATTCTTCTTATTTATTAAGTGTGCCTTTTGAATTAAAGACAATGAGGATTTTTCAAACCATTTTCAGTTTTTGCTTAATCTAACCCAATCATATATGGAGTATTTCCAAGTGCTAAAGACTTAAACATAACTTATTTCTATTTCCTCAGATAAATTCTAAATGATAGATATATTCTTAAATTTTGAAACATTTTCTCAGCTAACTTCTAAAATATCAAGTTATAATCAATCTTTTTAAATTTGCCTTTAGTGAGTCAACTGGATTGGCAGATTTCTAAGATACAGTGTTCCTTTTTCCATGAAATTTCCCTCAAGAAACTTGTGTTTAGTAGAATAAATTAATTAGTAGCTCTCAAAATACAAATTAGGACTTAATATTTCCTCTACAAATTATAAAAATTACCCTTTCCTATGCTCCCTTTGTTTATTTAAAGAGTTCACCCCAATTTTAATTATGTAAAACTGTTCATCGATCTTGTAGCAAAAAAGAATTTATTTGCTCTTTATTTTAAAGACACATATAATGACACAGAAAACAAATTCATCCTCCAATTATCCAACCTAACCTACAGTTATGGAATTTGTGCTCACACAAAAGCAGTATAGGTTCTAACATGAACAAACAAAAAACTCTCAATTATTTAATACCTGCTAAGTAAAGGTTACAAATACTTCTTCACTATCTATAATGGTGATTTTAGCCATTTTCCACAGAGTGGTATTCATTTGAAGCAAGTAATGTAAATCAATATTACATCAAGTAATAAATACTATGAAGATGCAATACCTTAGTATTTGGGAGGGAGGAATATGAAATATATACTTAGTCACAGATCAAATGCAATTTATTCCTTCCTATTTAATACCAGGCTCCTATATTTCATTTTCTCAATAGTTTTTCCCTGTTATATTATCTATGTCCTAATTTTAACATCCTTTTGGAACTGGACAGTTATAAATAAATAAAAATGTATTCATAGTCCTATCTTTTTATATATGTTATACTATTTGCCCTTATGCTATTTGTCTTTAAATTACTTACGTCAGTGTTCGAATGCACTTTGCTGAATCTCTGATGTCCCACACCTTAATATAAGATGTGGACACAGTGAAGACCAAGCTTGTATAATTACAATATTTTACAGATACAACATTGTTGGGATGACCCCCCAATGACATTATCTCCTGCCCAGTCACCAGATTCCATACTTTACAAGTACGATCTAAAACAAACAAGAAAAGGAAAATACTGTCAATATGAACTAAATTAGGTTCTCTTAACAATAAAAATTACTTTAACAATCTTTCCCCTAGAAGAATGAAATAAAATAAGAAAAAGTAATTATTCCACTCGCTGCAACAGACATCAACCCTCTGCATCAAGTTCCATGGCCAAGTACATATAAAGGATTGGATGAAAGCAAGGGATAGCTGGTGTATGTATTATGTGGTATTAAAAAAAATAATTATATAAAACTTTGAAATAGTCATATCACAAGAGTCTTGCTTCAAAATTCCCCTGAATTTAAAATGGCATTCCCAAATCAGCCTCTTCACTCTCACTGCCTCACAGCACTCTACACTCATAAACACATATACCTTTCTTTTCCAGGGGTCACTGATAGATGGTTTTATTTTTGACCCCAAAACATAATTATAAACTAATTATTTTGTTTTTCTGACATGTCAAATATATAATTATTCTGGAGATAAATTTACTTTAAATTATAAAAGTACATTTTTCACAGTGCAGATTATTTTTTAATTGGAGAATGGCTTGCTGTTATTCACAATTCATAAGTTCTAGCTAGATATGTTACACTTCCTTATATGCAATGAGCAATAAATGCTTGCTGATTAAACTGAGTCTTGTAACATCCCTACGTGCTAAAAATCGTTTATTAGCTTCCTCAAACCTGTACTTGCTTCCTTCCTACCTTTTTAGCTTTACTGCCCATCACTTCTCTTATGATTACAGTTGACCCTTGAACAACATGGGTTTGAAGGGTCTACTTATATGCAAAATATTTGAAAAATATAGTACAATACGATGAATGTGTTTTCTCTTCCTTATGATTTTCTTTGTAACATTTTCTTTTTTCTTACTTTATTGTAAGAATATAGTATATAATACATATAACATGCAAAATATTTATTAATCAACTGTTTATATTATTGGTAAGGCTTTGGTTCACAGAAGGCTATTAGTAGTTCGGGTTTGGGGGAGTCAAAAGTTATACGCAGATTTTCGACTGTGTAGGAGGTTGGCACCACTAACCCCCATGTTGTTCAAAGGTCAGCTGTATTCTACTTTTCAACCAATTGGATTTAGTTTCCAAACATACCCCATTTTCCCCTCCATGTCTCTGCTTATGTTGTTCTACAATCTTGGTTGTCAATCATTACCTGTCAATATCCAAACCATCCTGTAAGGTTCCTCCTAAATGCCTCTGTCAAAGCCTTGTTATGTCTCACAGGTTGGCATAACCTCCCTTTTCAGAAACCTCAAAAAGATTAGTATTTAACTCTTCAAAGCATTTGTAGTTCATTTCCAGTTGCCTACACTTGTACCAAAGGGGGTTAAGAATATAGGTTTGGAGATGAGTAGACCTGGGTTTCCAATCCTGATTCTTCCACTTACTACTAAGTTTATCTGGTGAAGTTATTTCATGTCTTGAATCCTTAGTTTCTTCATCTGTAAAATGAGGATGCAACATGTATCTCACTGGGGTTACTACGAGAATTAAATGAGATATAATTTGTATAGTGTCTAGCATAGTCTCTGACATACGCTTAAGTGCTCAAGAAATGATGGTTTCCTACCCATCTTATTCTCTTTACCACAGTGTATGTACATTGTAATGATGTACATTTTTGTCAATTTTTATATAACTTGTATTACTAAGCTCAGGACCTTGCATACATTAAGTGCTCAGTTACTGAAGGGAGATGTATTTTCTCAACATTCTATTCATATAACATCAACAGAGGTTTTACTTTCTTCCCAACTATGCAATGATTTTCTATAATTCAGGAGTTGAACCAAATATTTCTCAGGTTTTTATGGGTATTAAGCAGTTTGACTATTCTTTTAAGCCTGTTAAAATGTAATCATTTTTTTTTCATCTGTTAAATATCCATCTGAAACAACCACTAGTAAGTACCTTTTGATCCAGTGAAGAGGAGATCATCAGTAGAATCCACACAGAGCACAGCTTTTGTGTGCCCTTCAGCTATGTGAATACACTGCAGTGGAGAAGCTCTGATTCCTTTTGAAGCAGGAAATGGGTTGATTATGCCCCTGAGGTGGGGAAAAACAAGATTTACTTAAGTAGCTATATCATGAGACTAATTTTATTTTTCTCCTGACTTTAAGAAGCCTTTCTAACTAATTAATAGGAAAACTCAGACTGCTCCTTTGTCTCTTTTTAAAGCAAAAGGACAGAGACAAAATGTGAAATAGTAACAGTAGTGATGGAGTGCATCAACTAATGAGGCATCAGTCAGCAGCTGCCCTCTGCAAAGAGCAAAGCCTATGGCACACAGATCATCTTATCAACAAATTCTCTTCAAAGTTGAATGCAGTAATATTGGGAGCTGTTTGAGTAGAGTGAATTCTGACAAATAAAGTATAAATGATGGATAACTGGAAGTGTGACTCTGCTATGCTGAAATATGACTCTATGTCAAAAAGAACATTCTGGAGAAAGTATAACACATATCACCTAAAATACTGAAAAAAATTTTTCAAGTGAATTTGAAAAAAGATAGGAACGATCACATACACAGAAATTCTAAAGGGAGAATGGCTCAAAAATATAAAAAAAAAAAATAAAGAAAAAACTCTAATAGTCTCCAAGAAGATTAAAAAAAGAAAAAAAGAATGGGACTTTAAAAGAACAGTGAGGCTATTTAGGGAACTTTCTCATAAGTTTCATATTTCTGGAGTTTATGCTTTGTGCTATGCACTATGGAAATGCAAAGTTTATCAAAACATTGTCCCTATCCTAAAGGAGTTTAAGACAGGGTCTGAATTGAAATAGTTGTATTGAGAAGACTAAAGATGAGAGTGAATTATAACATAATAAATATATAAATTGGATATATCTTTGCTCAGAGCAGGAAGAAAAATTATTATGTAGAAATGTGTCCATTATATAAAATAGATGGCATAATATCAGAACAAATAACAGGAATAAAATAAAACTGTTTCTTTCCACCTTCTCAATGAAAGAGAACAATCTTCAAGATGCAATGGGCAGAAATGATTAAGAAGAAATGTAAGCCCAAGATAAGTTAGAACTGACAATAGAGACTTATTCATTGAATTCAAGTATTTCTGTGTTTAAATCATTATATCACAGGGTTTTGGAAGGATACAACATTGTTGACACAAAAATCATTGTTGGTACACTAAGATCAATAAGGGGCACAAAACATGTAGGCCCCTTTTTCCAAAAAGCAGGGGAAAAAGCAGACTTCAGGAATTACAGATGGGTAAGACTTCTTGTTGAGTCTCACAAAGGGAAATACTGAACAAATCATTATAAACACTTAAAAATAAATGCTCATCAATAAGAGGTAACACTAATCTCATGGGGGAAGTTCTTTGTAGGGTTAATAGCAAATTAGAGAAATATCATATTCATAACACATGTTGACTCAAAAAAGGTCCATTACATTAAGCCTTTCAAATGATATCCTTGTGGACATGGTAGGTAAGAACAGAACAGTTGGAGTAAGGTAGTTCCATTGGTGGAGAGGCACACTTAAGGAGTCAATGTTCCTTTCAATTTCAAAGAAGTCTTCAATATCTAGTCAATATTTCTCTAGCACAGAAAACAGAGCTGGCATATATATTAAACTGATATATTAAAGAACTGGACACTGGTATGTATTGCCTAGGAAAATGACAAACAAAATTTATTTGCTTTAAGTACCCACTTAACACTAAAATAATCATTGGATACAATTTAAAGATAAAATTTAAGTAGAAGATAGAACAAAATGCTTCAAGTAGTAAAAGCCTTAATAGTAGCCTAGATCTAAAAAGCTGAAGAGGGCATTATGCTAAATGAAATAAGAAAAAGATACATGCCATATTATCTCTCTTATACACGCAATCTTAAAAATATACATTAAAAAACCCAATCTCATAGATACAGAGAATAGATTGGTAATTGTAAGGGTGGGAAGTGGGAGGTAGGAGAAATGGCTGAATTGCTTTCTGGGTTTATTTCAGTTTAAATAAATTGAAATACACACACACACACACACACACACACACACACACACACACACACTAATAGCCAAAGAGATTTTTTTAATAGAATATAAGATCAATGAATCAACAATTTATGGCTCTTCTATAAGCACTTTCAATAACGTGTTCAATAGAAGTAAATATTTCAGGAGAAAGAACATAATAGAGTTACTATATTCTGCTGAGGGATCTGGAAGGAGGTTGAGTTCTAGATGCTAGATTTTAAACACTGAAAAATTGGGACATTTTCAAAAATAGTAGAAGCAAAATGATCTGTAGACTACATCATATAAGGAGCAGATAATGAAACTAGACCTACTGAACTGATAGGAAAACATTCATTGGAGAGGATTCAATAGTAGGTTAAGGCACTGAATATTTAAAGAGCTGTCATATACACACAAAAAGAGATGTGCATGGATTAATTCAATTAATTAATTCCAGAAGATTAATTCTGGCAGAGCTCAAGAGGGCGGATGAATAGAAACATTAGGAGATAAATATAAGCTCAGGGCTAAAAGAAACAAACAAACTTTATTTTTAGAGTAGTTATTAATGATTTTGAAAAGTAGAAGTTGTTCATCGTCACTAGAAATGACACCAGGAATTGTTGCCACTGGATATGTAATTACAAAGTCCAATGTATTATTTGCATACATGTGTCAATTCTTGAAATTAATGCTCAGTAACCTGTTTGTAATCTAAGAAGTTAACCAAATTAAAACTGAAACAGAAGCAAAACTTCCCCCAAAAGTCTGAATCTCCGTTTTGAAATCCTACTGATATGAGTTCATATCTATGAACTGAAGCCATCGAATTAGAATTATAGCTTCAAATATTCAAAAGGTTTGATCTAATGCACAGTCAGATGCTACTCTTACTTCTCAAACAAAATATGTATGTATGTATATTCCAATAAGCTGATTATAAAGAAGAAATCCATGTGACCAGCCTAAGGTATAAGAGTCTGTCATGTCAAAGTTTGTAATATTACAAAAGTAAATATTTGCCTCCAGTGACTTATGTATGACACAATTTTGGAGGGTAAGATGCCTTTTTTCATTTTTATATGTTTTAATATCATTGATTTTTCAGACTTCTGAAGAAAAATAATCTCATAATTAAATACAGCATTTTACTAGATACTGAAAAATGCTCTCCAGTATTCACAATATTAGTACTAATATTTTGTAGAGATTACCTTATACCAAAGATAATAGAAAAATACAGAAATTGGAAACATACATCCATAGTATTTCTTTTAATATTAAAATTAATCTATTCACATTCTGAAATATAGAAATCAACTTTAAAATAGTTTAAGTTAAGGTTATATATTGCAAAGTTGTAAAACAACCTGAGTTGAAGGGGGAAAAAAGCTTATTCTTGTTCCATGCAAATCAGTAAAGTCTTGTAATAAATGAGATTAATTTCCTCTGCCTACCTTCTGGAGGATCTACTGATGATCAGCAAAATGGCCATAAACAGGAGAAACAAGTGCAAAAAGAGAGGAGACAAAATGATAAGTGGAAAGAGGAAATGATAGAAAGAGAGAAATTAAGGATCCAAAAAGAAAAAAAAACCCACAACATGAAAAATTCAACATTGTTATCTTTAAAACAGCATCTATCAGTAAAAATATATTTGTTATTTTAGAAAAGCTCCTTTAGTTTCTATTTCTTTTTATATTTTATGTATCATAGTATCTTTTGTGCCCCCCCTTGCATATCTTTTTTTCTTCATTACAAAGCTTTCCATAAACTTTTTACTTATAATCATTAAGCCAATAACAACAACAAAAATACCTTATTTACCTCCCACACTTTGAAAGACTGAAACATTTAATCACTGAGGAGCAATGATATCAATATTCATAGAACTTAAATTATTGCAAATAAAAGATTTAGATTATAGACAGAGAACAAGCATCACAACTTTCTGTGCTATTATACAAAAAAAGTTTGCCAGTTCTTGGTCTAAAAGGGATGACAAAAATATATTAAAATTAATATGTTTAAAAATATTAGTATGTTTATATGGTTTACAACTGGTTATGCATACAAAAGTGAGATATGCTTATAGTTTCTCAGAAGGCATTTTAGAATATCAATGAAATGCCAGAATGTAGGAAAGATAGAAAGAAAGTACCTGTGTACCTCCGACAGAGAGGAGTCACTTTCATCAGACCTACAGTGAAAGAGTTAGAATTATGAGGAAAAAGAACACAGATGTCAACAGGTAAAGACACTGGGACTGAACTGAAAACTGACAGTATGAATAATAGGAATATAACAAACATTTCCTTTATTGTGAATGTCCCACTTTTCTATTTGCACTGGATATCTGCAAATATACAGCTGTATCTGGCAATATATTTGATTCTTATGTTTTCTACTAAGACTTTGGGTGGGATAAAAACTTTCTATTACTAATCCACAGAAAACCTATTATTCCTCACTTCTAAAATTAATGCCCCGAAGAGGAACAATATCAAGTAAGTAAAATACATCACTTTAAGATTCTTTCTATTTAATTTGATTAGTACTAGAACATTTTTCCCATTTAAACAGCTATTAATGAATTTTTATCCATCTTGATAATTACTTTGGATTTAGATTCTAATGTGGAAACTGCACAAATGCATTTTATGTTTACATGGAAAGCAAACTACCCAGAATTCAATAACCTTTGATTTTGACTTATCTCAAAAACAGTTTCCTAATGAGGGAGTCCCTTAGTAATATGAGACTTTAGTGAGATTTTAAAAATAGGTGAGCCACTACTGTCAGCATACACTGAAACCTCCACGACTGACAATAAGTTGGGTTCTTATAAAAACCTATTGAAGAGTGCCTGGGTGGCTCAGTCAGTTGAGTGCCCAACTCTCGATTTTAGCTTAGGTAATTATCTTATGGTTCATGGAAATGAGCCACACATTGGGCTCCACACTGACAGCACGGAGCCTGCTTGGGATTCTCTCTTTCCCTCTCTCCCTCTGTCCCTCCCCTGTCCGTCCTCTCTCTCTCTCTCTCTCTCTCTCTCTCAAAATAAATAAATTTTTAAAAAAAGAAAAAGAAAATCTACTCAGTTTGTTTATTAGGCTTGGGGAAAAGAACAGAGTGAATACTGACATGGAACATAACCAAAAACTATCTATGGGATCTACTTCCAGCTGGTGAAATATGCTAGCCTCAAAAAGAAAGTGATTCAAAGGTAGGTGAGTCTTTGAAAGTGTAGTCACTTATTCTGAGTTTTAGCTTATAGAGATGACAACAGCGTCAAATTACTGGTAGCTTATAAAATATTTCAGTAGAAAATATAAAACTATGACTAGATTGTCAAAATTATCAAAATACTGACAAAATTTTATGACTATGAATGTACAGACAAAATTTAGTAAACCTTCATATCACTAGTGAAAATGGACTTCCCGAAGGCATTCTTAACGTTCTTCTATTCTTTTCTCAATTAAATGGAAGGTATGACTTAACAATGTTAGAGAATTTTTTCAATAACATGAAATATTTATCTATCTAGATCACTTTAAAGGGTAGATCATCTACTGATTAAACTATATTAATATCTAACTTTAAAAACTTTGTCCATACATTAAGCAGATTAAAAATTCTTTCAAAATGTGTGCTTCTCTAAGTCTACAGAGACATCTGGCATGTTCTGAACATGCCAGACAGATCTTAAATAGCATCCTACAAATCTCAGAAATTGTTGATCTACACAGGGAGATTACAGCATTGAAAACAACAGGGGTGGGAGACTGGATATGAAGTGCATACATCCACTATGCTACCATTCAAAATCAAAGCAGATAAGTCAGAGTTAATAAATATTTTATGGCAGGACTGTTAGTATGAATTCTTGCAAGAGAGATTCTGGCTCGATGTGGGAATACTTTCTCACTTCAAATTTAATGCAAATTATAATTTTCATAGGCCTCCAACTTCTCTTCCTCCACAATCCACCTCAGTCCTAACCCTCTCCACCCAAATACGAGCTGTCTTTATTTTATTTTATTACTGACTTTTTGTGGTGGATTTGTGTCAAACCACCAAATGCTAACAACATTTTACACATATAACAATGGACTTTGTAAGCTGTTATATGCACTGAAGGTAAAATAAGTTGCCTCTTTTCAACTCAGGCTATCTGGACTAGAGGCTTTTAGTATCCCAACAAATTTAAACTTAGAGTGGTCTCAAAGATATTTGAATTCTAATTTACATAGAAATGAAAAGGCAAGACAAGTGCTGAAAGTTTACCAATGCAAATCTACAACAGGGAAAAATGTTCAGCAGGAAATTAATTTTCTCTAATCTTTTCTATATTGTTCATTTCCTGTTGGAAAAACACATCAAATATGGCCAGAGTTCACAAGTCAGACTTCATCTCCCACACAAAGAGATGGCTAAATGTGTTCTGCAGACTCTATTGAAAGGTTCAGACTACGGTAATAAATAGAGGGGCTCTTTTCCATAAAGACTTACTTATCCTGCTGAACTGATGTGTTTCCCTGAGAAACAGTAAGACGGTTAAAAACATTCAGTTCATTACGGGGCCGGCTTGGTGGGGAAGAAGGAGGTGAAAGACTAGCCTCTGAGGTTCCAGAATCTGAGCTACAAGAAAAAAAGAACATTAAATAGGTGGTTTTAATCAGTTATGATTTGTTAGGAATGTTATAAGAAACATGCTTTTTTAAAAAAGCTTTTCATTAGAGAATTTCTTCTTCCTCTCTTCCTTTTTTGTAAGATAAAATACACTCTGAACAATTAAAAAAAAAAAAAAAAAAAAAAAAAAAAAAAAAAAAAAAACAACTTTTCCACTGGATTTTGTTACATTGCCCACAAGATGGCACTAAGGAAAAACTTGTCTGCTGAAATCTACAGTCAATACAAATAAAGCAAGCCAAATTTAAAATTACAGTTTTAGAGTTAAAACCAAATTACTCACTTTACAGATGAGTACAGGGGAAAGAGAGCCAGAGTGTTTAAAACTGATTTGCCTTTTCCAAGATTTACTCACTTTTATTTTTACATTACTTATCTGCTCCATCCACCATCTCCCAAATATCCCTGAGACATTCAATCCAGTAGAAATAGGAAAATTACAACTTTAAGTACAGGAAGCAAGGATGATTAGAAAGAGAACGTCCACGACATTCAAGTCAGCCAATCCAGTGGTCAAAGTAGAGTGTGCATGTTGGCACAGGAGAGAGGATGGTATAAGATTGTCCACTTGGGTACAGAAAATATATAAAAACTACTTTTTATGTTTACTTACATGTTAAAGAAATTAGCTTTACTAATATTTAAATGGCGACTGGCACCAAAACTCTCCCTCCCTCAAGGCCATGTCAGAGATCTACCTGTCGCATGTAGCACCTTAGGTGACCTGAGGGAGGAGTGGGTGCGCCACAGGGGAGAGAGGTTTCAGTGGCTCTCATCCATTCACTCAGCTTCATGTTGTGACATTGCAATTTATAAATGCCCATTTAAGTGGATCATCAGATTATACTATGCACTGTTAAGTAAATTAACCCTCACAAAACACACAAACAGCTTTTAAGAGATTTCAGGAAAAAAAAATTAAATGCAAAAGAACAGCAAGAAAATGGTACAACTAACACACCCTATGATGAACACTAGTTTCCTGTCAGCTATTTTACAGAGGTAAAGTCAATGTCAGTTTTATCAGTTAAAATCAATTTCAAATCTTTCTAGAAGACTATCTGAAATATAGATTCACTAAACTTCATCTCAAGTGTACATGAACTTTTTACAATGATATGCTCAAATAACTGGAAAATAAATAAGAGTACATGATTAGGGACAAGTGTTCAAATATGTTTACAGGTATGTGTGTGACCAAGAAACACTGAGCCAAACCAACAGCTGACTTGATCGTCTCGATTAGTCAAATCAGTCACAACCACAGATCTAGCCTGCATGTGGAAAATAATTTCACTATTGTCCTTTAGCATCTAAGTGCACCAGAGATTTTATGTAATCTAGTATAAGTAACTTACTGTTTTTGTTCCTTGGCCTTTGATTTTTCTTTTTCGTATGCTTTTCTCCTGGTTATAGGGGAAGGCTCTGGTAGTTTTTTTTCTGATAGAGATGACTGTTTGGAACTAAAATAGAAAAAGCCTCTTTTAATCATCAAACTTTATTAAATATATACATACAAGTTTGTTTGGCAGAGTTTCAACCTAAAATTTTTAATATATCAATAACTGCAACTTGAGAAAGAGTATTACCCGGGAACAAAAAAACAAAACTATGATAGGAATATATTACATGGGTAATTTTAGTTGATGGAAGCTTGACACCTGTATATTTAACTTTTAAATTGGCAATCTTATTAAATATATGCAAACCTATTATCTTTGAATGTAAATATCAATGCTATACTGCCAAATGGCCAAAATCAATAACTGATTTTAAACATAAATGATTAGGTTGATTATAATTGTTACAGTTGGGAAAAAATTGTCTTTATAATCTTATAAGAACACAAAATATTAGAATATCAAAATATGAGAAACAGTGAGATTTAATGAAATAATACTTAGACACAGTCAAAAACAGTACTACCAGTAATCATACACACACACAAATGACACACAATAATTTTACCTAATATTTAGGTACTAGTAGCTATATAAATTTTAGTAACAAAAACATTCTTATTATAAATTTTAAATGTTGAATAGTGGCTGTATAATTAACAATTTAAGACTATTATTTTTGTGTATGTGATAATACATTCTGATTAAAAAATGAATTTTTATTATTGTTGACTAGTTATATTAATAAGAAGAAAACACTATGGAATTAGAATGTACAATTACCAGAATGGTAAAACTAAATATTTAAATTTCATGTCCCTGACTTCTGACCACAAGAAATCACATTTCAAAAATCCTTCATCAGTTAAATCATAAGGGCCACTTAAGTAAATTATTTTACATCAAGCAATTAAAGTCATGCAGTAATGACATTAAGAGTTACCACACCGAGAATCTCTTAAATTTGAACAGAATTACACAAGTGTCTGAATTTATGAAAACTTGAGAACAAATCATGTGAAGAGACACAGTCCAAAATATATATTCTACAACCTGTAATAAAGGATACACTTAAAAAATGAAAAAAATAAAGGGGTGGGGGAGGGCAAAAAGAAGGTATTACCTGAATCTGGATTCCAGGCCATAGATTAAGTCTTGAAGTTCCAAAAGTCTCTACTCAATCTATTCTTAAAATCTGTTCTGTTTATATCATTACCTTCACCAAAAGCATTTCTTTAACAGTCATCTTATCAAAAAAGCACTGAAGCCATAAGCTATACTGGTTAGCAATCTCTATCAGCAAATCCAATAGTTAATTACATAGGCCACATCAAGCACATGCAAGAAAGTTGTCATCATTAAAATTACATTTGGATCTAAAGGTAGCAGATGGGCTTACTCAATGGAAGATGGCAGAAATATCTTCATAAAATGAAGGAAGTTAAAAAAAGGTAACAAAACAAAAAAGGAAATTATGGGAAACAGATATTCAAAGGGGGAAAATTTGTTATATTTTATTATTTGCAGAGTCATGTAATGTGTGCCATTTTTTTTGGCAATATTCCTCAATGCAGTAATGCGTTCATTCCATAAATCATTTGGTAGATCATATGTGAGGATTACGGCAAAAAAATATCATTATAACTCTTTACCAGGGGCACCTGGGTGACTCAGTCGGTTAAGCATCCGACTCTTGATTTCAGCTCAGCTCATGATCTCACAGTTCATGAGTTTGAGCCCCACATCAGGCTCTGTGCTGATGGCGCAGAGCCGGCTTGGGATTCTCTCAGTCCTTCTCTCTCTGCCACTCCCCTGCTTGTGCTCTCTTTCTTTCTCTCAAAATAAATAAACATTAAAAAAAAACTTTACCGGTGAATGATCTAATTTTAATATAACTGTCCAAACACACATACACACATAGCATACATACACATACTAGCCTGAGTTGGGAAATCTTCATCCTCAGGACAATAGTTGTTTTGAATAGAATGTTCATATTACATAAATAGGAAAGAGAATATTACCTCCTTTAAAGCTTTAACAATACAAAAAAAAAAAAATATTTTGTGCATACACTCATCCCAGACATGCAATGGCAAGTACTTCAAGGCAAAAAATTAGGAAGCCTTAAAATGATTGTTTGTGATTGATATTTCTTTTTCCTTATAGGGTTAGCAAAGGTTTGCTATCCTGACCAGACTCTTAGAACGAAAAATCATGTTCATTTAAAGCAAATAAAAGATGTTTTAAAGCTTCTGTTTTGTATGATGGTTTTATAGATATAACTACCTGATTTAAGTGTTCCTAAAAAATTTTGTCTATAATTCATAACTCAGCCTTTATGAAAATTATAATCCTGAAGAATGACCCTAAAACTTAGAAACAAGCAATAGAATTGAACAAAGAACATCTCATCTTAAATGATTTCAAATGTCAAAAAAATTAGGGGAGACAACACCTAACAGAAATTCCTTTGAAAACTGGAGGTCTTGTTTACGGAATTTTAAAAAAATAGAAATAAGAAATTAGCAACATGCATATAAAAAATTTTTTAAAAGAAAGAAAAAGAAAAGCCAAAGAAAAGGAAGTTAGTGTAGCTGGGCCAGACTTACATGCTGCCTATCTTAGAAGGGAAGCCAGATGGGGGAGGGAGCTCTTTTTCCCTAGCAGAAGTACCACTTGTCTCTGTATTCATTCCAATCTCTTGCCCTTCTGCAACAGGTGTAAGAGCGCCAGGCAAGGAGGCATCTCCTGCACTAGTGTCTGAGGCTAGTTCACTGCTATCTGCATACAGCAATTCCATTTGAGTGGTGGTTCTCCTTCGGGCCTAGTCAGAGAATGGAAGGAAAAGCAATCAGAAGCAAACTTTTGCAGAGATGATTAGGGAATAGAGATTTAATATTAGTTTGAAATAGGTAAAAATATTTAGCGTGTCATTTCCTAGCAAGTGTCAAACATAGCATGTAAGATAGTGACAAGCCAGAGCTATAGCCATATAAGACCTTTAAAGGCCATAATAATAGCCAATATTTATATAATACTTATTGTATGCCAGGCAATGTTCGAACACTTAATTACATTAGCATGTACTATCATTATCCCAATTCACCAATGAGGAGACTAACGCACAGAGACGCTAAGTAATTTACCCAAAGTCACACAACTAGTAAGTGGCAAAGCCAGATTCAAAAACAAACAACTTGCCACCAATATGACTATGTTACCCTGCCACTCATGGCCACCTCCCTCAACATAAAATTTTTTTAAAAAAGAAAGAAGAAATTAAACCGAAAGTTAACTGCAGGGAAGCTCAACTAAATTCTGATTTACTCCATGCTCAGATGCTCATTTAATATCACTTTCAGTTTTAAATTTTATTTTAATATCAATTTTTTAAATCTGCTTCTCAGTTTTTGTGACCCCATTCTCCTGATGCATTAGCTGTGTTTTTAACCTGCCTGCTGGATAATTCAACACGAGCCTACACGAGCTTTAGTAGCACAGTTAGGCAAGTGAAGGTTATTTTCCTAGAATCTAAATTCACTATACAAATTCCTTTCCTTACTCTTGAAAATGAACTGACTACCCTGTTGTTGTTCAGTTGTTATTATCACTAAGGTATTAATGGATAATCAAGGTGTTTACCAGATTATAAGCCTCTAAAGAGCACACACCCTGTTTTATTCATCTTTATTTCCCCTGTACATAGCATAGTGCTAGTACATACCTATTTAACGTATACAGTTAACTTTACTTTTTCAATGATGAAAATAAATGAGAGGCGCTTGGGTGGAACAGTCAGTTAGGCAACGGACTCTTGATTTTGGCTCAGGTCATGATCTCACGGTTCATGAGTTTGAGCCTTGCATCTAGTTTCAGGCTGACAGCACGGAGCCTGCTTGGGATCCTCTCTCTCCCTCTCTCTCTGCCCCTCCCCTGCTCGTGCAAGCACGCTCATACTCACTCTCTCTCTCTCTCTCTCTCTCTCTCTGTCAAAATAAATAAATAAATTTAAAAAAGAAAGAAACAAATGATATGAGATCCTTTCAGGCATCTTTGAATGAAGTTCAAAAGGAGTAGTAAGTAGCACCTCAGAAAATTTTTGGAAAAAGAAAACTCTCCGGCCAGTTTTTTACACTCTCAGTTCTCTTCACTGCCAACAGCCCAAGGTAGGGAGGAATCCTTTTCTTAGGAATTCCAAACTGTAGCAGTTCCTTCAGCAGATAATGTTTAGAGCACCACTTTACACCTCTCTCTGGTGTCCCAGAAGGGCATGAATATCTAGGCTTTCACAGGGCCTGAAAGACATTCAGGACCTTAAGAGATTTTCACCTCTACCTAAGACTGGATCCAAACCATACCGGAATGTTTTCTTTTGAGTGTGGGAGTAACTTCTGCTTAGTCACTTAGAATAATAAAATAAAACCATATGTTACCAAGCTCAAGGATCATACATACAGCCTGGAGATGTTTTTTTGATTGGCTTGACCAGTGTTTTAAAGATCAGGAAATTCTACATAAAAATCTGTATTTAAGGCTTCTTTAGGAAAAAATAGAAGATCTAGTTGTCTTAGGTCTATAATCCTCATGGCAAAAATGAGCAAGAGTTGAGTGGTGGTTATTTGCTTAGGTGAGGCATATCCTCGTCAGGCAATCACAATGACCCCTACTCATTACATCCAGCCAAATTATTCATTTGCATTACCTGACTATTCACTATGGGCCTTAACTCTGTCTTACCCATTTGCACAGTGTTAATTCTTTCAGGTCCTGATTCTTTCCATCCATTTAACAAATATTTACTAAGGACTACAAGAATTCTTTGTTTTTAAACATCTTAAGATGGTTAGTTAATTCATCTAGTATCAAATGCTATCAACACTGAATGTGAAACATACCAAATATCTTACACATTTAACAGCATGTGGCATTGATATTTTTTTAAATTATACAAATATGCATTATAGTCTCATTAGTTTTTAATACAACTAATTAATGATTAAGAGTTGGCTTATTATTCAAACCACCTCAGGATACTACTTTAACAAAATATATGTGATACACTTAAGAAGATACTAAATGTTAAAATTTCAAAAACCTCCTGCCAATTAACAAATTTTGCAAATTTATGCTGTATGCCACCACAGGGTCTACAATCTCCTTTATAATTATTAGGAAACTTAGGTGACCTTAATAAATTACCACATAACTTCCTTAATGAGTAATGAAACTTTTAGGAAAAACCTAGAAGAAAATAAGAATTGGTCTCCATAATCATAGCTTCTCCAGTGGAAGAAGTGCAATAATACGGTAAAGCACAAGTTCCACAAAGGAGAAATATTTTGACATAATGTTTGTTTCAAAGGAGAATATGGTAATTACAGAACTAAAGTTGTTATACATGGAAGCGATGGTAAAAGCATGCCAACTTGCTAACCTTCTTAAGGGTCTGAGGCCTATGTGTTTATTAGTAATAACAGAAAACTGTGGGGAAGGATGCTTACCTGTTATTTTCAATTCCCCTTACCTTGCTTTTAGGTTTCACTTCACCACAAAGTTTCATAAGGTCTGAAGATAGTGTGCTAGATGCAAATAAATAATTAACCACGGGTTAAAAGGGGACTTATAGAAAACGCTGTCTTCTATGTTTTTAACTATAGAAAACATCTTATAGGTCTACAGGGCAAAAAAGACAATATTTATAATCAAAATGAATTACAAAATTATTCATTTTCTTTCCTTAAATATCCCGGTATTTTTGTGGTGGTTAAGTATGACTTAGTTTGGTTTCCATAATACTATTTCTAGTGCTATTCACTTAGCCATAAAATTCAAAATTATTTGTTTTATGGTAATTGATTGAAGCAACAAGATAAAAGTATTTAAAAAATTACAGAAACAAAATCTATTAAGTTTCTAAAGGCTCTCCTACCTTCCTTCTGATCCTGGGCTGTTCAAAGGTGCATCCTCATCAGTACTATCCTCTACATTTTCTAAAAAAAAATGTCCAAAATCTAAGTATTATCCACATGCCACAATTTGAGTGACTGCAATCCCCGTGCTATAATAAATATCAACATCTCAATATGGGCACTTTGGTTTTCGTAACTGAGTCCAAATAGAAATGTAGAAAAATACTTCTAAGAAACCCCTTTGATTATGTGTCCTAAAATGAGAAAAAGGGTCCAAAATAGAAAAACCACAAGTTTGAATCATAAAATATAGAAGAACAACATTCACAGGATGGAAATGAGATCATGTGTTTATCAGAGTATGTATATGTTTTTCAGAGTATGTATTTATCCCATGCTATCCAAACATATGAAAACCCACAGAGTAAAATACAAGAGAGAGTAAATGTTGCATGAGATCCCTTTAATGTACTAAGCCAACTTCAAAAACTATATAGGGGTAGACATACTTGCTATATTTTAATATGTCAATTTACTTAAATATTTTCCTTTATTTTTATTTTTGTTTTCAAGCAGAGAGTAAGAGAGTGGTGTGTGTGTGTGTGTGTGTGTGTGTGTGTGTGTGTGTGTGCATGTGTGAAGGTATTCAGAAGTCACACATCAGCATGCAGCTCATTCATATGTACATAAAAGACAAAAACAATAGGTTCACATGCAACAGTTTTGTAAATAAATACAAGTAAATCACCACTATTTCAGAACAACTGTAACAGACTAGTAAAAAAGAGGAGAAAAAGCAAACAAGTAAAACTAGTAGGAAGTCAATAAATCAAACAGCCACTGAAAGTAAACTATTTAAAATGTCAGTGAGCCCCTAACATAGGTGCAGGTTTTTAAAATATACACAGTTTATTATAAAATCATTCTACAAAAGCAAACATATTATAAATAACATATATTAATCAAAAATATATATGATTTATCCCCTTTTAACTTGTAATTTTGTGCATTTGGACTGTGGACAACTAATTCCTTTCTCTGATGTTCCCTTTCTTCCTCACTGTTTAGCAGATACTTTGATAGAAATTCAGTAATACTTGATACGTGATAGTATTATCTAAAATGGAGCCCATCTAGGACCCGTAAAAGGGAATTTACTTTCTGAAGTGAAGATCATGGTGGTCTTGAAGGCAATGTGTACCTCAAAGCCTACCACTAGAGGGAGGCTCAAGAACCATGCCTGATAAGACATGGAATGGCAAAAATCCTAGTTATAATCCAGGAACTTTGACAGTCTTGGTTAGGATATAACCAATCCTATTTGTTCTACCTGTACTTGGTATAGCTTAAGCAGCTTAAAAGTATCAGCCTTTCCATACCTATATTATGCAGTTGATCTCAAGAAAATACTACTTTGAGATTAACATGCGGTATAAACATCCAAAAAAAATCAAATAACTCATGTATTTTATTTATGTAACATCTTCTTTAAAACAAATTCAGATGTATAGATTATGTTTATTCTACTGACACATAAAGGTAAGTACATTTAATCTTTCAATTACATTCCTCTCCTTTAAGGATAAGCATTTAGAACACTTTTGGCAGCTGTGTGCTTACAAAAAAAAAAGATCAGATCAGATTCTGAAAAAAAATTTTAATTAAATAAAAACTGCTCCAAAATAATCATTCAGAAAAATCACAAGTAATAAAATTGCCCTGATACTCCTGGTCCTTCATGTGTATCATCATTGAGAGGAGCAGAGACATTATTAATGGGTGGGTGTAGTTCATGACAAGGCTGTAGTGGCAAGGGGAAGGTTTGAAAATCTCTATATTTGGTCATCTCTAAAGCCACTTCTAATCTGAAAATATTATAATCATAAATATTGTTTCAATATGTTCATATAGAATGCTTTGAATAATTTCAGTTTACAATGTTAAAATATACGTATTTAATTTTACAAAAATTAAGAATAGCTGAGAATCTAGCAAATATATACCAAAGACAAGTATATACCAAAGATATATGCTAAGGAAAGTTATGAGGTTAAAACAACAGATGCAAGTTAACAGATATATTTAAAAATTAAAAAGAAATGTATACTCCATTTTTTCCTACAAGAAACAGAAAGAAAGGCTTACGAAACTGGAGTCACAGCTGGAGGTCAAAAACTAAAAGAGAAAATTAACTAAAGTATACTTCTTTAAAAATCTAATAGGTTTTAAAACAGGAATGAATGTATAGGAAAGATAAAAGACTTAGTATGTTTGTGGTCATGGATACATTTCAAAAAGATCATGCAAAAACCAGTTGGCTGCCAATAAAAATTTTAAACATAAGATGTACCACAATTAGTGTACATGAACAATTAGTAATTCATGCAGCTGTAGGGTACACAGAAAGCTAAACATACTTACCTAAAGGTACGCTATCTAGATCTGTGTAAATAACAGCAAAAAGGAAACAAAAAGCAATACTCCAATCAAAACAGATCCAATGTTAAGAACTCCCACATAAAACAAGATTATGCACCATTTATAAGATATGTAGAATAGATGCCATAGAAAACACTTATTATTTTTTAAGGCAATTAGATATGCAGAGTAAAGTAATGAAATGTGGTTAATATTTTAAATAACCAATTCAGAAACTTGGTTGATCCTCTTTATTCATAAAAACTAAGTGCTCAATAAGGTTAAATAAGCCTTTTAAAGTTGGTAATCATTTCTTGGAATGACAATAATTAAATCCCCCCAAATTTATACATGCAAATTAAAGAAGGAATAATTATTAAAAGCATGAGTAAATATAGCATCTATTCAATCAAGCAATAGGGGAAAGAGGTATAGTATAGCATTCTCAAAGAGCAAAGCTACCATGCAATTTGTTTAACAGAAATTTAGTCCAAATTACCTTGTAAAGCATGGCCTAGTAAAGCATCTAGCTCAGGATTTAACTCTGCTTTCTCTTTCAACATATGGAATAAGAGCTGGTTTTGTGTAGCGCTGGTTATTTCGGTTTGTTTAAGCCGACCTTCAAGTACTTTAATTTGAGCCTCTTTCTGGGCAGCCTGAAGACCCTGTAACAACACCAAAACATAATAATAATAATAACAACAACAACAATTATCTCAGGTCATACATAACAGAATCTTCCATACAAAGATGTGTATCAAATAACAAATGCATATGATATATGGACTTTGACATCCGATAGACGTTGATTCACTGTAGCTCCTCCGCTTACTAGCCTGGTGACCTTGAGCAAATTACCTTATCTTCCTACTTCAGTTGCCTCATATGCAGAATGATATTAATAATATCTACTTCCTAGCACATTGTGAAGATTAAGTGGGAGAACATAAAATAAAGGGTCTAGCACCATCCCAAAGTGGCAAAAAAAAGGGGG